CACACACACACACACACACACACACACACACACACAGATCCCTCTCCTGCTCTCCTTCCCGATGGGGTCCTGAGCCAGCCCAGCTGGAGGAAGGCAGCGAGCAGAGTTCAGTTGGTGCAGACAGAGCTAAAGTAAACAGCCGTGGTCATTCAGCAGGCAGTTAGCAGCCTTTGGACAGATGAGCAGGCCTTGGTGGGACCACACACGCAAACCCCTCTAGACCACACAGGGAATCGGGGCTGCGTTGCCTTTGCACGCAACGCATCCAGAAGGACGGGATTCCTCCCAGGAATGGGGCTTCTCCAGCACCCCCCCTCCCAGTCACTTTGGGAAGCGTTTCCTGCCCCGGCCATCCTGGTCCCTCCTGCTTGCTGGGTGATTAACTCTGTCACCCTGCCCGGGGAGCATGGTATACATTCCTCTGCAGAAGACATAGTGTACTCCTGGAAAAATGCCACCGCTACTTCCACAGCTCATAAAGTCATCTGCTGACCTTCTCTTTTCCTCCCTTCCTGCTCAGCCCATTGGACCTCGCACTGTCCGTCGCTCCCTGAGGAGGTCCCACACCACTGCCTGCCTCCCACGGGGCCCCGCTGGCCAGAAAGCCCCTTTGGGGTGCCAGGCTCTGTGCCGAGGCTGAAAGGCCTCTTGAGCATTCCTGGAACTTCACCTTGGCTGGAGAAACCCTCCTCTGAGCCTTTCTGCATATGTGGTTAATTCACCTGACAATATAGAGGGAACCAGCACACCTGGGCACTGAACAGCATCCTTCTTCCTTGAGCAGATGCCCGGGGGAAGGAAGAAGCATCCTTGAACCCTGCTGAGCTCTTTGCTCACATGCCCCTCTGGTCCTGACCGTGTTTGCAAACATCCCCAAAACCTAATCCCTCCATCCTGGCCTGTTTTCAGACGACTAGCATCACCCTTGCTTTTCTAACATCATGTAAGTCTCATGGTGAAGGGCTTTTGGGGCTGGTCCTTGCAGGGCTGTCTGAGCTGGAGCCACAAAGGTGTCAGCATTGGAAAGTCCTGATGGTTCTTCACACCCACCGTGCCCTGTGTGTCCAGGGCCCCTCCTGGAGTCCGAGCCACACTCTGGGGCCAGGCTGCTGCTCCTGGCCAGCAGATCAGAGCCCTTGCCATAGGAGAAAGCAGGGATTTCTTGGAAATGGCTGTGAGGAGAAAGGTGCTGGAGGTCAGGGGAAGAGCCAGCCAGCCTCCCCACTCCTCTATTTCCAGCTCCCAGCAGTGCAGCAACCTTTGAGCACTGCAACTCCACAGCCCTGCTGGGGTTTTGCCCCGGTGGGAGGGTGACTCCCAACTCACCTCCTGCCATCTCCCTGTTCTGCAAAAACCCTCCCAGAGCACTGACCTCATCCTCTGTTTACCCTTCCACTCTCCTCATCCCAAACACCACCCTGCCTTGTTGCCCTCTCCTCGAGAAGCTGCTCCAGGTCCCCCCAGCATCCCAGCAGAGCTCCTCCAAGGAACTCCCATCCCCTCCCGGAGCAGCCTCGGAACTGCTGCTCGGCCAGAGCTCCAGCACCAGAGATTACAAACCAGATCGGTGTTCGCCGGAGTGAACTCTGAGAAATTACATTTGCCTGTCAGTATCATGTTAAAGCATAACACAGACTCTCATTTTCCCACTCCTTTGGCTCCGAGGGCGTTTCGGTCCCTGCTGAGAAACACGAAGGTCGTGGCCTTCAGGTTTCCAGATCTGCCCTTACACACCACGGGGAGATCTGACAACAGCCTTATTATTTATGTACCCAGGCAGGGGCTGCCTAATGAAACCCAGAGATTTTTTTATTGACACACGTTGGGGCTCTGGGTAAGAGAGAAGCAATCTGTCGGGTGGTTGCTGTAAACACAGTGGCTATTCATTTAGGGTCAGTCCTTACGGGTGGACTTTTCGTGCCAGGTTTGACAGCACTTAATTCACGCCCGGGGTCACACTCCAGCATCTGAGATGGTGATGTGCCTCTCTCGGGTGGCTGGCAGCCCGTGCCAGGAGAGTTGAGTTTTTTGCTGGGTGTTTGGGGAGGGTGAGTGACAACGACAGACCCAATTCCCTGCTGCAAATAAGGAGCAAAAAGTGGGTTTATACAGTTTACGTAGTAGGTCGTTGCTGGGGGAGGGGGGAAAGGGAAAAAGGTGGTCGTGAGAAATGTTAGATTTTTCATGGATCATTTAGGGAAGGAAAATGAAATGCAATTAATGACTTTTCTGCCCAGAAGTGTCCTATGATTTCTCAGCCTGGAGCTGATCCTTTTTATGCCACTGACAGATGCAACGGAGAGGTTTTTTGCATGGCAAAGAAAGTATTTTGGATGTCCAGCTTGCTTTGCTGATGCTGCAAAAGGCGGCTCCTTTGGGGTGCCCTGCAGAGCTCATCCCTGGTGCCCTGACCCCTGCCTTTCCAGAGGGCTGCCTGGGTCTATTCCGGGTGCAGGAGGAAAGAGAAGCTTTTCTTGGCAAGGAAATGACTCCTAAGTAGCCTCCTCACAAACCAGGAACATGTAGGAAAATTGCGGCTGAGTACATTTTAGTCTGGCGTTTAAAGGGCTGAAAAATGATTGCAGTTTCCTTTGGCAATGGCAGCGGGAGCCTGAAGAGGTGACCTTTAAGGAGATTCTGTTTACTGCAGCCCCGGGCTGGGAGCGTTGCGTGCGCTCGGTGAATCCCTCTTCCCTGCCTTGGCTCTGACCCCTCCGCCGGCCGCCCTAACTCGGCAGCAGTTGGCAAACAATGGGAAGGATTCCTTGCAAGTGCTGCCTCAGATAAATCACGCCGACCCTTTCCCGTAGGGTCGGGGCAGATGAGAATCACACGTGGCCCCCACATCCTCTGCCCAGCATCGGGCTCTGCAAGGTGCCAGGCAAAGCTCCTGCAGCACCAGTTTCTGGGTGGTGGGAAGCAGCAATGCCACCTTGTTCTT